GTAAAACTTTATTTCCCTCGTACAGAAAGAGTCTGGTGTGGCTGCTCCTTCCTTGTGATTATTGAGGGACACCCCCCGCCCCTTGTATCTTATGTCTCTGCCTTCTTCAAGGCCCTTAGATTGCTTCCCATTCAGCTGGAGGATAAGTAAGAACAGAGAGGGTCTTGTCAGGGCGTTTTTATGGGTCCATCTGGAAGAAGTCTGTGTCTCTCTCACCCATTAGTCAGAACTCAGTCACGTGTTTGCTTCTACCTGCGGGGGAGGCTGTTGGGAACTAGGGTCTAGCCATGTGCCCCCAAGAGAAAGGAAATGGGTTTTCGTGAACTTGTAGCAGAGCGTATGTCATAGTGAACAAAGTGAAGAAGTAAGTCGTGTGTGTCACTGGGGAAAGGGCATCAGGGAGTGGGAACCACAGTGTCAAGGTGGCCAGCATGGCTGGAGTATGGGGAGGAGAGTGGCAGAAAGTGCGGGCAGGGATGTCATGGGGGTTGAACCATTGGGTCATCGTCAAGACTTGGTTGAACTGGGAATGACCAGGCGGGCCAGGAACATGGCAGGGTTTTGGAGAGAGGGCTGACATGATTTGATTTACATTTTAAAAAGATCCCTCTGGCTGATGTATTGAAAACCGAGTGAGGGAAGAGAGGGTAGAGTCTGTTAGAGTTGCCCTGGTGAGTGACAAGTGCAGCCAGCTCCTGAGGGGTGGTGGTGGGGGCAGGATTTGAGATCTGTCCTGGAGGGGGAACCACAGGGCTTGCTGTGGGCTTGGTGGTTTGGGGGTGTGGGTGACATAGAGAGAGGAGTCCGTCCTGTTCTGAGGTTTTGGCTTTTGCCTAATGATTGTTAGTCTCACTTTCTCCCCACAGAAATAAGAGGGGAAATTCTGGGGGAGAAGAAATCGGAATGCCCTCTGGGCCCTGACCTGTCTCACAGCTGGCTTTCCTCCTGCAGAGTACTTTCTTTAGCACAGCTGGGCAATTCATAGTCTTTTTTTTTTTTTTTTAATTTTTGCTTTTTTAAGATTTGTTTATTTTAGAGAGAGTGTGCACACAAGCACCGGGGAGGGACAGAAGGAGACAGGGAGAGAGAGTCTCCAGCAGACTCCTCGCTGGGCACGGAGCCCAAGGTGGGGCTCGATCCCACCACCCTGAGATCATGACCCAAGCCGAAACCAAGAGTTGGCTGCTTAACTGACCTAGCCACCCAGGCACCTCAGTCCACATTCTAAGTGAGTTTTCAGACAGTGGGACAGCACCTGTGACTCCTCCCAGCACAGAGCATGGATGAGACTATGTGAGCAGTGGTTGCGCATCACCATCTGGAGTCTTCGGGCCAAACCTTGGGAACCCCCTTGGATTGATGTGGAAGGGCCTGATGTTCTCTCTGGGTGGCTGAGAGATGCCTGTAGAAACGACTTCCAATCCCTGCTGTTTGTAATGTTAGAGCTCGTGTGTGTTTGGGAGTGGGAATGGAAACAGCTTCTCTGGGACTTCCTGGGCCATGATGACCAGGTGAGGCAGAAGCCAGAGGTGGAACTTTTTAATAGTCAGTGATCTCAGTGGGAGCATAAAGGGGAGAAAAGTCTGTCTTAAACAGAGCAGGGCGTGAATCATGGCAACAAATGTTGTATGCCTTCTAGGTGCTGGCTAGGTCTTTTGTTTTCACCAGAGAGCAAAACCATACTGTTCCTGCCCTTGTGGCAGAGGTAGACCCATGTGGATAGACTGTAGAATGATTCGTTGGAGACAGTATATTTACGCCTAAGTATTTCTTTTTAGCAATTGTGAATGGCATCGTATTTTTAATTTTGGTGTCCATGTGTTCATTGCTAGTATATAGAAATAAAACTGATTTTTAAAAATTTTCTTATCTTGTATCTGCATCCTTGCTAAACTCACTAATTAGTTCTAGGAATGTCTTTTGTGTGTTCCTCAGGATTTTCTACATAGGCAGTCATATCGTCTGCAAATGGAGAAATTGTTTATTTCTTCTTTGCCCATCTGTGTGCTTTTTATTTCTCTTTGTTGTCCTTTGTGCTGATTAGGACCTCTAGGACCATGCTGAATAAGACTGGTAGGAGTGGACATCATTGTCTGTTCCTAGTCTCGGGGGGAAGGCCGTCTTCCACCATCAAGGAGACTTAACTGTAGGGATTTTGGCAGATGTCTTTGCATTTTCCTGGTATGAGTGGGGGTGAAGTAGGGTTTTCTGTGGTGCTGGCTTGCAAATAAGTGACTAGAGGGGAGGAAAGAGGTTAGGAGGTTGTCACTGGGGCCTCAAGGAGAGCTGATGAGACTTGAGCTAATTAAAGTCCTTAGTTGTTTCATTTGGACTTCTCCTCCAGCCACAGCATCGGTAAAGAGGAGGGCTGGGAGAAAGTCTAGAGATGATCGGGCAACAGGGCTTGGTGACCAGCTAGAGGACGAAGGAAGAAGAGGGGCTTGAGGAGGATCACCCCCCCCCAACACTGCCACCAAGGGGTTAATAACTGTTCTCCAGAGGGCTAGATTTATCTCTGGAGACTAGTTATTAAGTGCTGGCAGAGTTGACATACCTTATTCACTTCTTGAGAAATGTGAGTGTTGTTGGCTTTTTGTGGTGCCTTAACTGGGAAAGAAAGCTGATTGATTGTATTTTTCTCCCTTTAAAAAATTGCCCTTCTTTATGAACTCAGATGATAGGAACTGCAGCTGGGACTGCTGGTTGATAGATGGATGGCAGGAGGACCCTGGCCTGAAGACCCTTCCGATCCCCAAGCCTGCTCCTGGGCCTGCAGGTCTATGTTAGAAACATTCATTCCTTTGCCATTGTCCTTGCTAGGAAGGGCTTTCAGGATTTTGAGCAAAGTTATGACCCAATCTGACTGATGTTGTGACCAGTTCCCTCCTCAACTGGGAATTGACCGTGGATGGAGGGAGGAGTGACACCAAGAGCCAAAGCGGGGAGACAGGTACACCCCTTGAGAGGCTCTTGCAATCATCTATGTTGGTAATGGTGGGAAGAGCGAGAAATGGTTATAATCTAGATATATTTTGAAATACAAACCCATGTTGGTGAGGATTAGACTATGGCATAAGTGAAAGGAGATGAAAATCATTCTAAGCATTTTGGCCTGGGCAACTGGAAGAATATTGTCTTAAACTGAGATGGGGAGGGCTTGGAGGAGCAGACCTGGGGGAAGGCCAGGGTTCTGCATTGGACATGTTAAGTTTGACACACTGAACATGACTTACGCAGAGCTCCTGTCTAGGTGACATCTTACTGGAATCAGGCAGTTGGATATATCCTACTAGCCAGAAGTTGAGAGGAGAGGTCCCGGCTTGGAGAGAAATCTGGGCATCATCCTCAGCATACAAATGATATCTGAGTCCCAGACACTAGGTGAGACCACTGGGGGCGGGGGTGGGTTGGGATGACTGAAGGTTTACAGAGAAGAGATGAGAACAAGGCTTGAACCCTAGGGACTCTGACATTAAGAGGTGGGGAGGTAAGGAAGAACCAGCAAAGGAAAAGAGTAGCTAGTGAGGTGGGTGGAAAACCAAGAGTACTATCCTGGAAGCCAAGTGAAAAGGGTTATCAAGCCAGAGGAAATGGTTTACTGGTATCCAAAGTCGTAAGACAAGGTCTAAGACTTGCTCAATGGCTCCAGCAACATGGAGGACAGGCCAGATGCCTGCGTTTGGACCCCAGCTTAACCTTTCAAATAAGTCACAGTTTCCCCACTGACGAAGAATACAGTTGTGCAAAACAGATCATTTAAGACTGATTAGAATAAATCCAAGAAAGAGGAAGACAGGGCCGTAGAAGTCTAGTAGAAAGGGATGGTACTTCTGACTCTTGTGGAGAGAGTTGAGGTCAGATTCATTCATGTCTTCATTCATCATTTATTCATTCCACGAAATGGGATGGGTTTCAGAGACTTGTGGCAGGGAAGGGAGAAAGTGGAGTTAATTGTTTAATGGGTATAGTGTTTCAGTTTTGTGGGAAAGAGTTCTGGAGATGGATGGTGATGACGGTTACCCAACATGAATGTACTTAATCACTGAGCTGTACACCCGAAAGTGGTTACCGTTATCAAGTTTATGTCATGTGTATTTTACCCTCCTGCCCCCAACACACACACAATTGGGAGGAAAAAACCTAGTGGCCCCATCATGAACTTGGTCTGGGATATAATGTTGGAAATGGATGGCATTTCAGTAGGAGATAATACAGACAGAAGGGAAGAAACACATCCAGCTGGAGGGAATGCAGAAAGGGAAGAGATCTGCTATCAGCTGTGTTTGTCTGGATTGTGGGGTCAGTAGTGGAGGCCATGCAAGCCAAGGCTGTGGACTCAGGCTGGGCCAGTTGGTACAGGCCTGATAGGCTACTTGTGGAGTCGAGCTTGCCTTCTTAGACTCTGGGAGCCTCAGAAGGCTCTCTGCCCAGGGGAGTGCCATTCCAAAGGTGTGCATTTAGAAGATTAATGTCATTAATCCTTCCTGTTAAACCATTATTGAAACCAGTGGGATTAAGGCATGCGTTTCTCTAGGGAAAATTGTGACCTAGCAGAATTTTCAACACCCAGGTCCATGTAAATGTATTGAACAAATTATTTTTTCACTCATTTTACAAATACTTCTTGAGGACGATCTACATGCCCATAGTGTTCTAGGCGGTGGGGTAAGAGAAGGAATAAATGTAATAGGTCCCCTCTCTTGAAAAGCCTATACTCTAGAGAGCCCCATTCCTAAATAAGAAATTATGCTCCCATATATCATGTGTTACCATGAATGTCTTACCTGAGTTCCATGGGAACTGAGAGTGGGAGGTGCCTGGCCTGCTGGGGGAAAACATTGTCCAGTGGATTGGGAAGAGGAGCACGATTTTCTAGGCCAAGTAACAGAAATGGGCATCCTGAAAGGATGGTGAATCAAAACCTATTGGGGGTTGTACATGCAAAGATAATGTATAAATATTCTCTCTTAAGGCTAAACTCTTATCTTGTTGGCTTTTAGGTGGTGCTGGCTGGAGTGCACACTTTTGGACTCAAACTTAAGTCTTCAAATGTGGACTCCTAGATCTTCACTGGTAAGTCTGCTCGATGCCTTCTTACCGAATGACGCTATTGAGAATCAATGTTTGGAAAAAAGGGCAAGGAAGTTATCATTGACACAGCTCCAAAAAGCCTGCAGTACGGGCAGAAAAGGAGAAGCGACATTTCACTGTTTCTGCGATAGATGTGGAGAGGGGGGCCAGAGAAGGGGTGTCCAGGGGTACAGGGGATGGACACAGCTGGCCTCATGGAGGGGTGGGACTTTGGCTGTGATTTGAAAAAAAAAAAAATCCAGAAAGGAGTGCAATAAGCTTTTTGGGTTTGAGAAGTTGGGTATAAGCGATAAAGAAAATGGACTTGCAGCAGCAGCCCCCCCAGGGGCAAGAGCTTCATCCAGAGGAGTCATGGGCAAGACCTTCAGTGGGATAGGATTACTCTAGGCCAAGTTTAGCAAACATTTTCTGCAAAGATCAGACGGTAAATATTTTTGGCTTCACAGACCATGTGGTCTCTGTCACAGAGACTCAGCCCTGCTGTCGGAGAATGGAAGCAGCCACAGCTCATCTGTGAGTGAATGGGTGTGGCTGGGTCCCAGGAAACCATTCCTGGCAGGAAGGTGGTCAGTAGGATTTGGCCTATGGGCTCTAGGTTGCAGAGTCATTCTCTAGATCCTGAATGTCAGGCTGAGATACTTGAACTTGGTCCTGGAGGCAATGAGAAGCCATTGAGGTTACTTGGGGGCAAAGAAGCAAGATGGAAGAAGTGACATGCTAAGACCTTTCATCTGATAGCTAGACAAGTGGTATGGGCCCTGTTCAAAGGAGCAGCAGCAGTCCATGTGTGACATCATGTGGTTAACAGTGGTTCAAGTGGGAGTGAAGGACTAGTAGAAGAGAAATTGCAAAGGGAGAACTATAGAATTTACAGTCCTCTTGGACTTTAAAGATGGGAGCCAAAGAAAATGAAAATTTGGTAGTTCACAGTAGTACTATTGACAAATGTAGAGACTGGAGACAGAGAGGGGTGCCTGATGCTCTGGTTTTAGATACACTGAATCTGGGATAACAGTGGTTCAGCCACAGGAAATGTCCAGTAGATAATTGGAGAGGCAGGGCTGAAGCCTGGACCGAGGTTTGGTCCGGAGACATAGAAGGGAAGCCACAGGATTAAATGAGTCCTCCCCATGATGAGCAGAGAACCGAGCTTTGCGGAGTGTGCATAACTCTGGATGGTGGTGGAAGAGAACCAGAGGCCAAGGAGGAGAGAGTCCCACAAAGGGAAGAGGAGGGGGCAGCAGGGACTCTGGAGAAGGACTTGAAGGAAGACTGCTGAACTGGTGACCAGTTGGCTACAGATGGCCTTGAGGAACGTGATGCCACCGAGGAGAATGGGGGCTGAGGGCCCCAGGCTGCACGGGCTTGCACCTAGATGAAGGACAGAACCAGAGACATTAGTGAAAGAGACCACTCAGAGAGTCCGGTAGAAGGAGGGAGATACACGCATGCTTTGGACATTTGCATGTCAGTTACCTTTTCTTTAGCTTTGAGGCAGGCACAGCCTGCCATGACCAGTTTCTGTTTCCTTCTCTGGAGCCAAGCTTTGTGTGGGGGTTTGTGTGTACATTGGGCTTGTGATTGTGTTCTTCTGCTCCCTTTGAGGTGTGGTGCTCAGAGCTCTGCCACAACTTGCAGCACAGAATCCAGCCCATGTCTGGGCTCTTGCCATAAGACAAGATGTGATCCGTTGGGGAGATAGCTGCATTTGCCTATATTGAAGGAGAAAAGTGGGGAGACCAAGGAACTGAAAGGAGACTTCTTACTGCCGAGTCTGCCCACAGAGGGGACTTGGAGATCATTCCTCAAGTCATCCAACCAGATGTCAGTCTGAGCTCTGAGTATTTCGAGTGTTCGTTCTTTGGTCTGAATTCTACAGTTGTTTTTGGCTTGGTTTGTGTGAATCTAGAAGTTTGCCATCTGGTCATAAAAGCAACAGGTGTAACTGGTTTAGAGCCACCACATCTCGAACTCTTTGTACCAGGCTCAGTGCTGGGAGCTTGGTAGATGTCATTTTATGTCATCTCTGCAATAGCCCCCAACAAGGGGAATTAGTACTGCCAGTTCAGCAGTGAGGAAATCAAACCATGAAGAGGCAAAGAGATTTGAACCCAGATCTGACCCCTGGTTTACGCTGCTCCCTGTTTCCTCTCTCCTGAGTCTGGAATTTCTCCTCCTACTTATGTAGAAGGACTAGAGACACATAGAGTTGTTCAGGTTAAACATTCAGAGCCTATAGTGTGTGTTTCCACCTCTTAGGAGTCTGTTGAAAGGATGCAGGAAGCGTGGGATCTCTGGAAGAAACCAAGACCAAGCCCCAGATACTTGAACTGTTTCCTCTGGTAAAATTTGCCTTTCGTAGGAGAAGGCGACGGTCTTGGGTTTGGAAAGGAAATAGTACTGGGAGGCAGGACAGTCAAATCCCAGGCCTCGCTCCGTGGCAGTTGTCATCTGCTTTTTGTTTAAATGTGTGGTGTTTCTCTCTGCTCACCTCCAGCTTCCAGCTCTGAGAGCATGGTCCTGTTTTGTCATGACCACACTCCCCCAGCATCTAGTGTGGTTTGGCCATGTGGGATGTGCTCAGTAAATATTTGCTGTTTCTAAAGAGCTGGGAGGTGTGGGACAAGGTGCTTAACCTCTGCTCTTGACACTGTGGTTCTGGAGGTGACAAAGGACAAGTTCTCTGTCCTCAAGAGGCTACTCATGAGAATGTTTCTAGGAGGGGAGACAGAATAAATGTGTGAGATGTATAATGACATGATAATACCCTGAAGTAAAATAAAGTGAGAGAAGGGGGTGGAGGGTGATGGGGCCAGTAGTTCAGTTAGGGTCCTCGGGAAGGCACCACCAAAAAATGAAGTGAGACAGAGTGGCTTTGGGGGGCAAAGTCATAATAATTATCTTTGAGGGTTCTGCAGACTTCAGCTGAACTGTCAACACTCCTTAATTCTTTTGCCGGACCCCAGTGGCTAACGGCTAACTAACTGCTCCCAGTGGACCCCCTGTTCGGGCCCAGTGTCTGCGGCCTGCTGAGCACCGCCCTCCCCTCCCTGGTAAGAGCACAGTCTCCTCACCTGGCCGGCCTCTATTGGTTCTCCTCCAGCCTCACACACCTCCTCTCCACAGCCTGCTTTACCACTTGTCTTTCCTTGGTCCTTGCCCCTAATAAGGCTTTACTTGGTCCTTTCTCATCACTGCAAGAATCATCCCTGGCTGAGCCCTTGCATGGCTCACCTCCACCTTGCAGTCCTCCAGAATTTCAGGGCCCGCCCCGGACCTCCTCCCAAGGCCGCATGGCTAGCCGCTGCCCCCAGGCACCTGGAGCTCACCCCTGCGCTTGCTGCCCATGCGTCTATCTCCCTGTGCTGCCTGCCTTGCCTGCGACCGCATCCCCAAGCTGTGTCTCCTGCACGACCATCCTTAGCTCTGTCCCTTTCCTCAGCTATCATGTCCTGTGGGTTACCACGTCCTGCTGAAGAGGACACCCTCTTATTTGTCCACTCCCTTTTCCTCCTTCCCTGCTCCTTCACTTAGGACTCATCATTTGGATTTCTTTCAACAGCCTCCTAATTGGTCTTCCTGTGTCCATTTTTGTCCTCCCTCCTTCCGCCCCCACCCTCCTTATCAGCATGATGTTTATAACTCACTCATCTGATCATGGTTTTCTCCTCTTGCAAACCCTCCAAGAGCTTCTCATTGCTTGTGGGATGACTGAAGCCCCTTTGGCAGGCCTGCGGGTCTTTCATGATCTGCCCTTGGCCACATTGCTCATTTCACTCATTCCCTACCCTGGATTTCTAACCTCAGCCCAGCCTCCCGCCAGCCATCCCCGCTGGGCCTCCCGGGGATGACCCGCCCCTGCTCCCCATTTCAGCAGCTCAGGACAGGTTTTCACTCTTCTGGACACCTTCCCTCCCACCCTGCTCCTCTCTGTGACCTGGACATGACCTTCCTCCCAGCTCCCAGAACACTCTGCCTTTCTCTCTCGCAAAGCACTTGTCAGCCTAACTGTCGTCATGTTCAGGAAACTGTGATCCTTAAGGCTGGGGACGACACATGTGCGTGCATGCAAGCGTACGTGCAAACACACGAGCGTGTGCATTCACACTATCTCTGGGTTCTCGGTGCCAGCACAGTGCACCTGGCTCAGGAAGTGTTTGTTGAAGGAGTAGGGATAGCCAAGTCTGTGCAGCCAAACAACAGATTCATGATGCAATCAGATGTATTTGGAACTGGAGGCTCATTGGCCATTGCATTCAGCGGTCCCACCCCTCCCCTCGGCTCTGAGCGCAGGCTGTGTTGCTGTGGATTGGGGTTCCGGGGTGTCTGTTGTGTCTCCCAGCATACTGAGGCCTGAGGAATGTCCCTTCTCTATATTCATTGCTCTGGACTTTTTAAAAAAAATCCTGTTGTTGATGGAATAGTAATAGCAATTCAAAATGAAAAATAATCCTCCAAGGAACGCTCAGGAATGAGGTCTACCCAGCTTCATCCTGGGTGAGTCCCACACTTCCTAAATTAGCCAAAATAATGATTCTGGCTCACCACTGACAGCTTCCCTCCCCCGTCGTCTAGCTGAGAGTGCTTTTCTGGCTAGAACAGCTAGTGGTCCTTTGTGGACATGTCCCTGGGCTTCTTCAGCAGCATCTGGGATCTTGTCAAGTCCTGGGTGAACACAAAGGAGTGGCAAACAGGAAGGGGCTCTGACCTGAGATGCCAGGGCAGTGTCTGTACCCCCATGGGAGCTGGTGCTGTGCACCTGGCCCGTTGCCAGCGTATGTGCTCCTGCTTCCCTGTGGGGCCGTCAGCTCGATGCTATTGCACCTTCTCTGTTTCCTAGTTCCTCTGCAGAATAGGGAAATTGCACTGAGAATGCAGCTTTTGCATGGGGGCTTGCAGTTATCCGGGAGGGCTTCCTAGAGGAAGGAGTCGTTCTTACCACAGAGGTGTCCTGCTTGACCAAGGTGCTCCAGCAGGCGCTT